TCCTATTCTCTTATCGTTAATTTACGGACTCTCTCTGTTTGTTATGACATTCTCCCCTCCATATCCCCCCCCCCATTGAACCTCCATCCCCCAAATATCCCTCCCCCCTCGACCCGGCCGGGGGGCAAGTTTGCCATAAGGCATAAACTATTCACAAAACCCCGCGAAACAAGGGCCGTTGGCGATTCAAAATACATTGGCGGTTAGAGCGGTTGAAGAAGGTTGGCGCGAGGTGTCTCGGGGCCACCATGAGGCCGGTTCTTCGGCCCAACCAACTGGTTCTCTGCGCCGCCATCAGCAACCCCGCGCGACTCCCGCTGGATAACCTGTGTGTTACAAGTCGCGGCGCTGCAGCTCGCGTTACCCGACCATGATGCAGCTCGCGGTGGAAGCTGCGCCGCTCGCGGAAGAGGCTACTGCGCCGATCTCGACCATACCTGCCAGAATGTCACGCCCGCCGCCCCCGCGGTACAGGACTCCCGGCCAGTGGTGCAGTAATGCGGTACAGGCAGCCACTCGTGCGGTGCAGTCAACGGTACGAGAACCCCGTCGTGCGTTACAAGAACCGGTTCAGGCCTGGCTCTCTGCGGTTCATGAACTTTTATGCACCGTCGTCTGTGTTGGTTGAACTGGTTCATGTGCATAGGTACGTGCACTTGTCCTGGCCAGCCACGGTACAAGAACCGGTTCATGTCCTGCCAGCCACGGTACAAGAACCGGTTCATGTCCTGCCAGCCACGGTACAAGAACCGGTTCATGTCCTGCCAGCCACGGTACAAGAACCGGTTCATGTCCTGCCAGCCACGGTACAAGAACCGGTTCATGTCCTGCCAGCCACGGTACAAGAACCGGTTCATGTCCTGCCAGCCACGGTACAAGAACCGGTTCATGTCCTGCCAGCCACGGTACAAGAACCGGTTCATGTCCTGCCAGCCACGGTACAAGAACCGGTTCATGTCCTGCCAGCCACGGTACAAGAACCGGTTCATATCCTGCCAGGGAGGAAATACGTTCACGGAAATGGATTGACAACGTACATAATTAGCGTTATTATCTACTCTATTCATGGTTAGGTTAAGGTTACTTTGGGTTAGGTTAAGGTTACTTTGGGTTAGGTTAAGGTTACTTTGGGTTAAGGTTAGGTTAGGTTAGGTTAGGTTTCATTACATTTGGTTAAGTTAATACGGTGAATTGTTGACGTGAAAGTTAATTATGAAATTTGAAAACTGTTTCAGTTCACGCCAGAATTCCGTTTACAGAAAACCAGATTCTTCAAAGAAAACGTTTTCAGCTGATAATTTTTATTGTTATTTTAAACCAACGATTTATAATAGAATAAACTTATAACTAGTTTGATAAAAATCTCTGTTTAGGACAAAGGTTTACTTACATGTAGACTATTACTGGATCCGTAATATGCTTTCAGACCATCACAAATATATAGATAACTATTGTTGTGGTTAAAGAGGTACTAAGATACCTATTGTGTACACTTCAGGTACCTACTGTGTACACCTGCTCTGGTACCTACTGTGTACACCTGCTCTGGTACCTACTGTGTACACCTGCTCTGGTACCTACTGTGTACACCTGCTCTGGTACCTGCTGTGTACACCTGCTCTGGTACCTACTGTGTACACCTGCTCTGGTACCTACTGTGTACACCTGCTCTGGTACCTACTGTGTACACCTGCTCTGGTACCTACTGTGTACACCTGCTCTGGTACCTACTGTGTACACCTGCTCTGGTACCTACTGTGTACACCTGCTCTGGTACCTACTGTGTACACCTGCTCTGGTACCTGCTGTGTACACCTGCTGTGGTACCTACTGTGTACACCTGCTCTGGTACCTACTGTGTACACCTGCTCTGGTACCTGCTGTGTACACCTGCTCTGGTACCTACTGTGTACACCTGCTCTGGTACCTACTGTGTACACCTGCTCTGGTACCTACTGTGTACACCTGCTCTGGTACCTACTGTGTACACCTGCTCTGGTACCTACTGTGTACACCTGCTCTGGTACCTGCTGTGTACATCTTTACTCATCACCTTGTGTGGCTCAGGACACATTTACTCATCACCTTGTGTGGCTCAGGACACCTTTACTCATCACCTTGTGTGGCTCAGGATACCTTTACTCATCACCTTGTGTGACTCAGGACACATTTACTCATCACCTTGTGTGACTCAGGACACCTTTACTCAACACCTTGTGTGGCTCAGGACACATTTACTCAACACCTTGTGTGACTCAGGACACCTTTACTCATCATCTTGTGTGGCTCAGGACACATTTACTCAACACCTTGTGGAGCTCAGGACACATTTACTCAACACCTTGTGGAGCTCAGGACACATTTACTCAACACCTTGTGTGGCTCAGGACACATTTACTCAACACCTTGTGGGGCTCAGGACACCTTTACTCATCACCTGGTGTGACTCAGGACACATTTACTCAACACCTTGTGTGGCTCAGGACACCTTTACTCATCACCTGGTGTGACTCAGGACACATTTACTCAACACCTTGTGTGGCTCAGGACACATCTACTCAACACCTTGTGTGGCTCAGGACACATTTACTCATCACCTTGTGTGACTCAGGACACCTTTACTCAACACCTTGTGTGGCTCAGGACACATCTACTCAACACCTTGTGTGGCTCAGGACACATCTACTCAACACCTTGTGTGGCTCAGGACACATCTACTCATCACCTTGTGTGGCTCAGGACACATCTACTCAACACCTTGTGTGGCTCAGGACACATTTACTCAACACCTTGTGGGGCTCAGGACACATCTACTCAACACCTTGTGTGGCTCAGGACACATTTACTCAACACCTTGTGGGGCTCAGGACACATCTACTCAACACCTTGTGTGGCTCAGGACACATCTACTCAACACCTTGTGGGGCTCAGGACACATCTACTCATCACCTTGTGTGGCTCAGGACACATCTACTCAACACCTTGTGGGGCTCAGGATTAACCATAATAACGACATTAACTAATGCAATATAAGAGTGGAGACTGGAAATTATATAAAGGAGAAATTCATTAATTAAGAATCATCTACTATGAAAGAGAACTAACTTTTATGTATCTTTACATCTTCTTGAGGTTATCTTGAGATGATTTCGGGGCTTTAGTGTCCCCGCGGCCCGGTCCTCGACCAGGCCTCCACCCCCAGGAAGCAGCCCGTGACAGCTGACTAACACCCAGGTACCTATTTACTGCTAGGTAACAGGGGTATCAGGGTGAAAGAAATTCTGCCCATTGTTTCTCTCCGGCGCCCGGGATCGAACCCGGGACCACAGGATCATGTGTCCAGTGTTCTGTCCGCTCAGCCGCCGGCTCCCCATCTATACATGGTATAGAAATGTTCACAGTTCATGCATGAACAGATTCGTGGGGTCGGTCTGGCTAGAACTCTCTGTGAACATTGTTGAACAACTTGTCCTTGTTACATGAGGTCAGACACTGTCGTGCTAGAAAATGGAAGCGGCTCGCGAAAGTGACGTACTGTCCCGTTTTCTGTTTTGGGTCCTCTGGTTGGTTAAGATAAGGGCACTTTAGTACGAGGGTTTCTTGACGTTGGGGAACCTTAGGAGGACGAGCTGGTTGAACACCTTTACTTGCTACAAGGGATCAAGGATGTATACTTCACTTATAAATGACTTTGCTCTGACTTTCAGGTCTCTGATAGTATCAGACGATCAGTCTCACACACCGACGACATTTCGGTCCGTCTTGGACCATCGTCAAGTCCAGGATGGAGCGAAACGTCGTCTGTGCTTCACTTTAGCGGAACCTTCCTCTACAATAACACTTACACTTTTATTAAGATCTTCAACCTCCTGAGAATAATATCCCATATTAGTCACTTAAGTCTTATAGTAATGATTAAACACGAGATCAAATGCTGAACACTGGGGCCGAGGCCGCTGAACACTGGGGCCGAGGCCGCTGAACACTGGGGCCGAGGCCGCTGAACACTGGGGCCGAGGCCGCTGAACACTGGGGCCGAGGCCGCTGAACACTGGGGCCGAGGCCGCTGAACACTGGGGCCGAGGCCGCTGAACACTGGGGACGAGGCCGCTGAACACTGGGGCCAAGGCCGCTGAACACTGGGGTCGAGGCCGCTGAACACTGGGGCCGAGGCCGCTGAACACTGGGGCCGAGGCCGCTGAACACTGGGGCCGAGGCCGCTGAACACTGGGGCCGAGGCCGCTGAACACTGGGGCCGAGGCCGCTGAACACTGGGGCCGAGGCCGCTGAACACTGGGGACGAGGCCGCTGAACACTGGGGCCGAGGCAGCTGAACACTGAGGCCGAGGCAGCTGAACACAGGGGCCGAGGCAGCTGAACACTGGGGCCGAGGCAGCTGAACACAGGGGCCGAGGCCGCTGAACACAGGGGCCGAGGCCGCTGAACACTGGGGCCGAGGCATCTAAGAGAAATAGAAAAGAAATGGGCGACTTTAATCTCCGTATTTACTAGAGAAAACACTAACACGTCATCAATTAAACACATAAATATAACAAAGACCCATTGAGTCAACTAGTCGATTAAGGCAGCGTCTGGGATGCTCTCGGACGCAGGTTCGAATCCTCGTCACGGCCCTTGTGGATTTGTTTATGAGTCAACTAGGATTCTAAACAAATAATGAGACAGCCACAACTTGTTTTCTTTAACAAATAATATACAATATAAACATCATATTTACATCAAATTTACAAGAGAAAATACTACAATGATATACATATTACAAAAAAAAAAAACATACACAACGGGAGAGTTTATGTAAAGAGGAACTTACAACACTCCTTGCCAAGAATTGTCAGTAAATCATTAAGATTTGGGCAAGGTGCCAGTGTTGCACAGTGTTGCACAGTGTTGCGAAGGTTGTCTCTCAGTTGTGAGGAGATTAGATCACTCCTAATCATACTATCGCCTAATTTGATTGGACCTAAAATGTGATAGACGTTATGGAGGTAATGACTCCACATGGCTTTCAAATTAATCTCGAAAAGCACATATCAATTCTGAACGGCTTTACAAAATACCTAAAGCTTTACAAAATACTAAGGGCTTTACAAAATACTTAAAGCTTTACAAAAAACTTAAAACTTTACAAAATACTCAGGGCTTTACAAAAAACTGAGGGGTTTACAAAAAACTGAGGGCTTTACAAAAAACTCAGGGCTTTACAAAGGGCTTTACAAAATACCTAAGGCTTTACAAAATACTCAAAGCTTTGCAAAATACTCAGGGCTTTACAAAATACTTAAGGCTTTACAAGGCTTCATTTTTCTAGTACGACCATTTTTGGCCTCATGTAACGCATACGGTCGATAAACGACGTTCTTTGTAAGAGGACAGGTTGGAGGATCACCCCTGCGTCAAGCCAAAGACGGAGCAAAAGACAGATTCAAGGAGCAACAGACAGACTCAAGGAGCAACAGACAGACTCAAGGAGCAAAAGACAGACTCAAGGGGCAACAGACAGACTCAAGGAGCAAAAGACAGACTCAAGGGGCAACAGACAGACTCAAGGAGCAAAAGACAGACTCAAGGGGCAACAGACAGACTCAAGGAGCAAAAGACAGACTCAAGGAGCAAAAGACAGACTCAAGGAGCAAAAGACAGACTCAAGGAGCAACACACAGACTCAAGGACCTAAAGACAGACTCAAGGGGCAACAGACAGAATCAAGGAGCAAAAGACAGACTCAAGGAGCAAAAGTCAGACTCAAGGAGCAAAAGACAGACTCAAGGAGCAAAAGACAGACTCAAGGAGCAAAAGACAGACTCAAGGAGCAAAAGACAGACTCAAGGAGCAAAAGACAGACTCAAGGAGCAAAAGTCAGACTCAAGGCGCAAAAGACAGATTCAAGGCGCAAAAGACAGACTCAAGGAGCAAAAGACAGACTCAAGGAGCAAAAGACAGACTCAAGGAGCAAAAGTTAGACTCAAGGAGCAACCGACAGACTCAAGGAGCAAAAGACAGACTCAAGGAGCAAAAGACAGACTCAAGGAGCAAAAGACAGACTCAAGGAGCAAAAGTCAGACTCAAGGAGCAACCGACAGACTCAAGGAGCAAAAGACAGACTCAAGGAGCAAAAGACAGACTCAAGGAGCAAAAGACAGACTCAAGGAGCAAAAGTCAGACTCAAGGAGCAACTGACAGACTCAAGGAGCAAAAGACAGACTCAAGGAGCAAAAGTCAGACTCAAGGAGCAACCGACAGACTCAAGGAGCAACCGACAGACTCAAGGAGCAAAAGACAGACTCAAGGAGCAAAAGACAGACTCAAGGAGCAAAAGACAGACTCAAGGAGCAAAAGACAGACTCAAGGAGCAACACACAGACTCAAGGACCTAAAGACAGACTCAAGGGGCAACAGACAGAATCAAGGAGCAAAAGACAGACTCAAGGAGCAAAAGTCAGACTCAAGGCGCAAAAGACAGATTCAAGGCTCAAAAGACAGACTCAAGGAGCAACAGACAGATTCAAGGAGCAAAAGACAGACTCAAGGAGCAAAAGACAGACTCAAGGAGCAAAAGTCAGACTCAAGGCGCAAAAGACAGATTCAAGGCGCAAAAGACAGACTCAAGGAGCAAAAGACAAACTCAAGGAGCAAAAGACAGACTCAAGGAGCAAAAGTTAGACTCAAGGAGCAACCGACAGACTCAAGGAGCAAAAGACAGACTCAAGGAGCAAAAGACAGACTCAAGGAGCAAAAGACAAACTCAAGGAGCAAAAGACAGACTCAAGGAGCAACCGACAGACTCAAGGAGCAAGAACATGTAAGAAACTCAAGGAGCAAAAGAAAGACTCAAGGAGCAAAAGACAGACTCAAGGAGCAAAAGTCAGACTCAAGGAGCAACTGACAGACTCAAGGAGCAAAAGACAGACTCAAGGAGCAAAAGTCAGACTCAAGGAGCAACCGACAGACTCAAGGAGCAACCGACAGACTCAAGGAGCAAAAGACAGACTCAAGGAGCAAAAGACAGACTCAAGGAGCAAAAGACAAACTCAAGGAGCAAAAGACAGACTCAAGGAGCAAAAGACAAACTCACGAAGACATAAAGGAAGATTGAGAAAGGAGAGTAACGAGAGGAAAGAACATGTAAGAAACTTAAAATGGAAAACCAAATATAGGTTAGTTCTACTTTTTGGGTTTACTAAACAAAATGACAAGTGACTTGACTTTCCAGGACCCGCGTCTGGACCTCACTGTTGCTTCCAGGACCCGCGTCTGGACCTCACTGTTGCTTCCAGGACCCGCGTCTGGACCTCACTGTTGCTTCCAGGACCCGCGTCTGGACCTCACTGTTGCTTCCAGGACCCGCGTCTGGGCCACACTGTTGCTTCCAGGACCCGCGTCTGGGCCTCACTGTTGCTTCCAGGACCCGCGTCTGGGCCTCACTGTTGCTTCCAGGACCCGCGTCTGGACTGTCGCTTCCAGGACCCGCGTCTGGACCTCACTGTTGCTTCCAGGACCCGCGTCTGGACCTCACTGTTGCTTCCAGGACCCGCGTCTGGACCTCACTGTTGCTTCCAGGACCCGCGTCTGGACCTCACTGTTGCTTCCAGGACCCGCGTCTGGACCTCACTGTTGCTTCCAGGACCCGCGTCTGGACTGTTGCTTCCAGGACCCGCGTCTGGACCTGTTGCTTCCAGGACCTGCGTCTGGACCTCACTGTTGCTTCCAGGACCCGCGTCTGGACCTCACTGTTGCTTCCAGGACCCGCGTCTGGGCCACACTGTTGCTTCCAGGACCCGTGTCTTGGCCTCACTGTTGCTTCCAGGACCCGCGTCTAGACCTCACTGTTGCTTCCAGGACCAGCGTCTGGACCTCACTGTTGCTTCCAGGATCCGCGTCTGGGCCTCACTGTTGCTTCCAGGACCCGCGTCTGGGCCACACTGTTGCTTCCAGGACCCGTGTCTTGGCCTCACTGTTGCTTCCCGGACCCGCGTCTAGACCTCACTGTTGCTTCCAGGACCCGCGTCTGGACCTCACTGTTGCTTCCAGGATCCGCGTCTGGACCTCACTGTTGCTTCCAGGACCCGCGTCTGGACTGTTGCTTCCAGGATCCGCGTCTGGGCCTCACTGTTGCTTCCCGGACCCGCGTCTAGACCTCACTGTTGCTTCCAGGACCCGCGTCTGGACCTCACTGTTGCTTCCAGGACCGGTGTCTTGGCCTCACTGTTGCTTCCAGGACCCGCGTCTAGACCTCACTGTTGCTTCCAGGACCCGCGTCTGGACTGTTGCTTCCAGGACCCGCGTCTGGACCTCACTGTTGCTTCCAGGACCCGCGTCTGGACTGTTGCTTCCAGGACCCGCGTCTGGACTGTTGCTTCCAGGACCCGCATCTGGACCTCACTGTTGCTTCCAGGACCCGCGTCTGGACTGTTGCTTCCAGGACCCGCGTCTGGGCCACACTGTTGCTTCCAGGACCCGTGTCTTGGCCTCACTGTTGCTTCCAGGACCCGCGTCTAGACCTCACTGTTGCTTCCAGGACCTGCGTCTGGACCTCACTGTTGCTTCCAGGATCCGCGTCTGGGCCTCACTGTTGCTTCCAGGACCCGCGTCTGGGCCACACTGTTGCTTCCAGGACCCGCGTCTGGGCTCACTGTTGCTTCCAGGACCCGCGTCTGGGCCTCACTGTTGCTTCCAGGACCCGCGTCTGGGCTGTTGCTTCCAGGACCCGCGTCTGGGCCTCACTGTTGCTTCCAGGACCCGCGTCTGGGCTGTTGCTTCCAGGACCCGCGTCTGGGCCTCACTGTTGCTTCCAGGACCCGCGTCTGGACCTCACTGTTGCTTCCAGGACCCGCGTCTGGACCTCACTGTTGCTTCCAGGACCCGCGTCTGGACCTCACTGTTGCTTCCAGGACCCGCGTCTAGACCTCACTGTTGCTTCCAGGACCCGCGTCTGGACTGTTGCTTCCAGGACCCGCGTCTGGACCTCACTGTTGCTTCCAGGACCCGCGTCTGGACCTCACTGTTGCTTCCAGAACCCACTCACTTGCCATTATAATTAAAACATAAGCAAAACTTAGGAGCCCAAACAGAGAGTCTGATGCCAAACAAAGAGTCCGGTGCCAAACAAAGAGTCCGGTGCCAAACAGAGAGTCTGGTGCCAAACAGAGAGTCCGGTGCCAAACAGAGAGACTAGTGCCAAAATAAAGAAGAGTGACACTGGAGCGCCAGGCAGGCACAGTAGGGCATGCTACCGTGGTCCCCCATATTGTGCAACACTCGGTGACGCAGTGCTCTCATCTTTTGTTTCTCCTGAGTGTTTTGTCTTGCCACGTGTTCCCCCCCCCCCTCTCTCTCTCTCTCTCTCTCTCTCTCTCTCTCTCTTGTACCTTCTTTACATAATTGGATGTTTCTCATAATAAGTGGTTGGTGCCATTCTTGATGGTTGATGGGTGTGGTTAGTGAGGCTGGGCAGGAGGACGGGACGGGAGGAGATGGAAGATGATGGGATGGAAGAGGCACTCAAAGTAGAGGAGCCAGTCCTCCTGCGGTGGTGGGAGAGGAGGGGGGGAAACAATAAGTGCAACCAAGCAGGCATCCAAGCAGGCATCCAAGCAGGCATCCAAGCAGGCAACCACGCAGGCAACCAGGCATTAAACAGCGTACACTGCATGTCTGCTTTAATATTGGCGACGCCACGATACAAGCCTCATGCCTCGTGTTCACAGTCGGTCAGGACTCAGGTGTAACACATGCGAGGAGCGGCGGCTTCCAGCCCAACAAGCCACAATGACTCAGGTGTAACACATGCGAGGAGCGGCGGCTTCCAGCCCAACAAGCCACAATGACTCAGGTGTAACACACGCGAGGAGCGACGGCTTACAGCCCAACAAGCCACAATGACTCAGGTGTAACACATGCGAGGAGCGACGGCTTCCAGCCCAACAAGCCACAATGACTCAGGTGTAACACATGCGAGGAGCGACGGCTTCCAGCCCAACAAGCCACAATGACTCAGGTGTAACACACGCGAGGAGCGGCGGCTTACAGCCCAACATGCCACAATGACTCAGGTGTAACACATGCGAGGAGCGGCGGCTTCCAGCCCAACAAGCCACAATGACTCAGGTGTAAGACACGCGAGGAGCGGCGGCTTCCAGCCCAACAAGCCACAATGACTCAGGTGTAACACATGCGAGGAGCGGCGGCTTCCAGCCCAACAAGCCACAATGACTCAGGTGTAACACATGCGAGGAGCGGCGGCTTCCAGCCCAACAAGCCACAATGACTCAGGTGTAACACATGCGAGGAGCGGCGGCTTCCAGCCCAACAAGCCACAATGACTCAGGTGTAACACATGCGAGGAGCGGCGGCTTCCAGCCCAACAAGCCACAATGACTCAGGTGTAACACACGCGAGGAGCGGCGGCTTCCAGCCCAACAAGCCACAATGACTCAGGTGTAACACATGCGAGGAGCGGCGGCTTCCAGCCCAACAAGCCACAATGACTCAGGTGTAACACATGCGAGGAGCGGCGGCTTCCAGCCCAACAAGCCACATTGACTCAGGTGTAACACATGCGAGGAGCGGCGGCTTCCAGCCCAACAAGCCACAATGACTCAGGTGTAACACATGCGAGGAGCGGCGGCTTCCAGCCCAACAAGCCACAATGACTCAGGTGTAACACACGCGAGGAGCGGCGGCTTCCAGCCCAACAAGCCACAATGACTCAGGTGTAACACATGCGAGGAGCGGCGGCTTCCAGCCCAACAAGCCACAATGACTCAGGTGTAACACATGCGAGGAGCGGCGGCTTCCAGCCCAACAAGCCACAATGACTCAGGTGTAACACACGCGAGGAGCGGCGGCTTCCAGCCCAACAAGCCACAATGACTCAGGTGTAACACACGCGAGGAGCGGCGGCTTCCAGCCCAACAAGCCACAATGACTCAGGTGTAACACACGCGAGGAGCGGCGGCTTCCAGCCCAACAAGCCACAATGACTCAGGTGTAACACATGCGAGGAGCGGCGGCTTCCAGCCCAACAAGCCACAATGACTCAGGTGTAACACATGCGAGGAGCGACGGCTTCCAGCCCAACAAGCCACAATGACTCAGGTGTAACACATGCGAGGAGCGGCGGCTTCCAGCCCAACAAGCCACAATGACTCAGGTGTAACACATGCGAGGAGCGGCGGCTTCCAGCCCAACAAGCCACAATGACTCAGGTGTAACACATGCGAGGAGCGGCGGCTTCCAGCCCAACAAGCCACAATGACTCAGGTGTAACACACGCGAGGAGCGGCGGCTTCCAGCCCAACAAGCCACAATGACTCAGGTGTAACACATGCGAGGAGCGGCGGCTTACAGCCCAACAAGCCACAATGACTCAGGTGTAACACATGCGAGGAGCGGCGGCTTACAGCCCAACAAGCCACAATGACTCAGGTGTAACACACGCGAGGAGCGGCGGCTTCCAGCCCAACAAGCCACAATGACTCTGGTGTAACACATGCGAGGAGCGGCGGCTTCCAGCCCAACAAGCCACAATGACTCAGGTGTAAGACACGCGAGGAGCGGCGGCTTCCAGCCCAACAAGCCACAATGACTCAGGTGTAACACATGCGAGGAGCGGCGGCTTCCAGCCCAACAAGCCACAATGACTCAGGTGTAACACACGCGAGGAGCGACGGCTTACAGCCCAACAAGCCACAATGACTCAGGTGTAACACACGCGAGGAGCGACGGCTTCCAGCCCAACAAGCCACAATGACTCAGGTGTAACACACGCGAGGAGCGACGGCTTACAGCCCAACAAGCCACAATGACTCAGGTGTAACACACGCGAGGAGCGACGGCTTCCAGCCCAACAAGCCACAATGACTCAGGTGTAACACATGCGAGGAG